TGCGGTGGCCGGGAGCGGCCATTGCACTCCAGTCTGGGTGACAGAGGGAGACTCCAACTCAAAAAAAGAAAAAAGAAAACATATCATCCATTTACTTCTTTGTGTACATCTCTTCATTCGAATGTAAACTCTCAAGAGCAAGGACTCTGTTTGCATCTACCACTGGGACTGGTAACAGAGAGGCACTGAATAAACATCTGTTGAATGAACGAGCCCAAGTTCCAGTCCCCCAGCAGACTCAATACCTGGTAGTCATCGTCTTCATCTTCACTCTCATCTGAGTCTAGAGATTTCTTCTCCTTTTTGGGGTCACCTGTAGCCCCATCTCCAGCTTCTTCTCCTTGTTCCTCTTCTTCCTGTTTCAGAAATGGACATCCTGCAGAACCAAAAATGCAAAACAAGCCCCCAAGACTGTGGCCTCCCTTCACCCCCTCAGACTGTGGACCTTGAGAAATCAAGCCTCTGGAAGGCTGGAACCAAGTATGACATGGGTCCTACTTTGTAATGCTGACCCCTAGGTGCGGGGCCACGTCAGAAACAGGCAGACCCTCCTCCCAGCATCATGGCCTGGAGGCTACTCCTATAGTCCAGCAAGCCCTCATACAGCCACAGAAGGCCCTGCCCCCCTTCCCACTACCTCAGCAGCCTGGGTGAGAAGCTCGTCTCCCAGGGTCAGGAGGACTCAGCCAAAGGCAAAAACTGCAGTCCAGCTCAGCTACCCCACCTGTCGTATGCAGCTGCCAAGTTCTACTGGCATTCCCAGGCAAGTACTCCTCAGCTTTCCCTCCCCTACCCGTGGCGGGCCAGTCGCCCTGACCTGCCCACACACGTGCCCTCCTGCCACAGTTTCCCAAGACAACCCCTGGCAGGCTGCTTCCCTCCACCTTTCTTGTCTTCCCAACAAATTTTCCTTACAAAACCTTATGTCCTTCTCCTCTTAAGACTTGCCCACACGTTCTCCAGGTCCTGCCCAGTTGCCAGCTCCTCCAGGAGCCCCTCCCAGCTAGATGTGACCTCTCTCTTCTCTGGGCTCCTGCGGCACTTCACAGCTGTGCCCTCGTCTGGCCCTGACTATGCTCCACTGGGCCCTTCATCCAGACGTGGATCTAATAATGTGGTAAGGGATGCGGACACCAACAATGATGGAAGTGTATTCTATTTCCTGACAGTGGCCTGGACAAAGTCCCGTGGGAACAGAAGAGAGGGAACTACTCAATCAGCCTCAGCTGGAGGGGAGGGAGGGCAGCATCAGCACAAATCACAGAGGAGGTGAGGCATGACAAAGTCTGTACGACATGTTGCCCTGCCTTCTCGCCCCTCCAGCAGCCAAATGCTGTTCATCCCTGGAGACTGTTCTTCTAACAGATGCAGTGAGAGGATGGCCCTCCTTTACTGCCATGGGTTTTTCCAGGACTCATACCCGGGCCCACTGCCCTCCCACTCCCATATGCCAGCTTGCCCCTGAGAATGGGCAGTCCTTGCCCAGACTCCTTGTGGGCCGAAGAGGCAGGGCGCCACCCCGGGCCATGGGAGTGCTGTGGACAGGCACGTACTCACCCTGGCCTTTTGCTTTTCAGCCTGAAGTTGTGCGTCGATCTCCTCGGGGCTCGTATACTGCCTTGCTCGGCCTTTGTGGCCTCCTTTTCTCCCTGCACAAAGATAGGCACTTTAGGAAGGCGAATGCAGCAGCTGTCTTGACTGCCCTGACCCCCAGAGGGTTCTGTCCTGCTTGGAGTGTGCTCATAACAGAGGCTAGAGACCTGATCTGTCCCTCAGCAAGCACCACACCTGCACCTCCCCCACCCTCACGTGTTCAAAGAAACACAAGCAGCAACTTGTGACCATCTGCTATACCACCAATCTGTGTGGCTGCAGGTTCCCAAGAATAAGAACTGAGGGAAGGGCGTGGGGGATGGGATGCTGCAGAATGACTGGCTAAATACCCTGATCCCTCAGAATCTAAACACAGTGGACTCTGATGCCGTCACAAAAACACGTAGCCCTTATGCGCCTGCCACTGCCATAGGGCTTTTTACTTTTAACGTTCTGTCACAGCCATGGGCTGATCTGATCCTCAGAACAAACCTCTGGTGCAGGTCCCGTTTTATGAGCCTTGAGATCAAAGCAGAGTAGCAAAAACCACGAATTTTAGAGTCCAACCCCAGGTTCAAATCTCAGCTTACTTGCTTTGTCTTTGAGCAGCATCTAACCTCTCAGAGGCTCGGTTTCCTCATCTGTGTACATATCTGACAGGGCTGTCATGAAAAATTAGTTAATATATGTAAAGCTGCTGGAACAGTGTTTAATATTGAATAAGCATTACTACAGTCAGGCGTGGTGGCTCACACCTCTAATTCCAGCACTTTGGGAGGCTGAGGTGAGGACTGCCTGAGTCTGCGGTTTGAGACCAGCCCGGGCAACTTGGCGAGACCTCATCACTACAATAAATAAACAAAAATTAGCCGGGCATGGTAGTGCGTGCCTGTAGTCCCTGCTACTTGGAAGGTGGAGGCAGAAGGATCACCTGAGCCCAGCAGGCTGAGCTGAGAGTGGCCGAGAGTGTGCCACTGCCTTCCAGTCTGGATGACAGAGTGAGACTCCAACTCAAAAAAAAAAAGAAAAACAATAAGCACTACAAAATATTTGCTAAGATCTTTACAGTTATTTGGTGGGGAAATAATAAGAAAAAACACGACTGGCCACATTAGTGATTTACTGCATATGTCAGAAATACAATAAAATACTTCACGGTTATCTTATTAGTATGGTAGAAAGAGAAAACTTAAGGGGGAGAAAACCTCCAAAAACTATAGGCAAAAACTTTGTGCTTAGACTAAGAAATGACTGATAAATCAAGTTACTGTTGAGAACAATTCTGTCTACATTCAAAGAGTTAAAAAATGTGACTTGCAATTAAAGTTCATCTAAGAGTATGAGTTTTATAGTGTAACCTTCTTGAGCCAGGACACCAGACTGATCCCTGCTAAAACCATTAGCCAGTTTTAGAGCAGAGTGGTGTCCCCTTTGCCAGTCCTGAGTATGCAAGGGTAGCCAAGGCCTCAATACCCCCACCCGGGATCTCTCCTGGAAGCTGAGGTCCAACCAGAGAGCCCCTCAATGTGAGCAGAGAATTTTTTAAAAATCAGAATCTACTCTGTTGCCCAGGATGGAGTGCAGTGGCACACTCCCAGTTACCGCAGCCTCGACCTGCTGGGCTCCGGCCATCTTTCTGTCTCAGCCTTCCCAGTAGCCGAAACTACAGGCGAGCACTACCACGATCGGCTAATTTTTGATTTATTGAAGAGTCGAGGTCTCGCCAAGTTGCCCAGGTGGGTCTCGAACCCGCGAGCTCAGGCAATTCATTCGCCTCGGTCTCCCAAAGGCGTGGGATTACAGGCTGAGCCACTGAGCCTGGCCTAAGCAGAGTATTTTTAATTAGCCTGAGCTGCTCTGGGCTCCAGAGACAGTAGCAGAGATACTGGTCTCTCCTGATTTCCTAGACAGCAGCTGCAGAACCATAATTGGGTTGCTACAGACCACACCACCCATTTTTAATGACTACCTGGGTTCCCAGGGGTATCTACTTCTATGCTCATGAAAGTCCTACTGCAAGAGATGAAGCTTACCATTAAAAAGCCAACACCCATGCCTTCAGGTCCATATGAATTCATGACTGAATGGTCTTTTGGTGTGAAAAACCAAAAAAACAAAACAAAAACAAAAACAACCGAACACCCTTTCTTGCCCTCTTATTATTCCAGGCAATAGTAACAACTCAGAATTGGTTACTTCAAGCTCTCATCTCTTGGTCCCACTTTTATAATAGGCTCTTCAAAACTTAAAAAAAAAAATGCTTCATAGTTGACATAATGGAAACAAGAGTTGGTCTTGGGGAGTTGTATACTTATCTTTGTTTTCTTGTGCTTTTCAAACAAATTAACCCAGGAAATGTAAACCTTGTCTGCCCACAAAGCTTTTAACAAGCCAAAAGACCATTCAGTCATGAATTCATACTTAAGGTTTTCTAATTATAACTTTCTATATTGACCCAAAGTATCCATTAAGCAAGACTTTGGTCCCAGGATAGCACCCCCTTTTTATTTTTATTTATTTTATTTTATTTTTTTTTGAGTTGGAGTCTCACTCTGTCGCCCAGACTAGAGTGCAGTGGCCGCTCCCGGCCACCGCAGCCTCGACCTGCTGGGCTCTGGCGATCCTTCCACCTCAGCCTTCCAAGTAGCTGGAACTACAGGGGCGCGCTACCACGCCCGGCTGATTTTTGATTTATTGTGGAGATGAGGTCTTGCTTGCCCAGGCGGGTCTCGAACCTGCAGGCTCAGGCAATCCACTCACCTCAGCCTCCCAAAGGTGCAGGATTACAGGGTGAGCCACCGAGCCCGGGGGCACCCCCTTTTTATAGATGAAGAGACTGGGGAACAACATAAGAGAGGCTCTTCTGGCCACAGAATAAATCAGTAGAGCTAGGTTTAAACAGATTTAGCTCTATAAAGCCCAACTATCTCTGGAGTCAGGAAGTGATTTAAGTTTGAAAAAGCTCCAGGCGGAAGTTTCTGTGGGGTGAGTGCATTAACCAATATAACACATGAGCTACCGATATTAACTGAACATTTGTTCTGCGCCAAGAGCTAGCATGGCATTCTGCGGGCCCTATCATTTCACCACCCCTATCTCCAACTCATCAAGCTACGGATAATTAGCCTGGTGTTTCAGATGAGGAAAACAGATGGGAGAGGTTAAATAACTTGTTCAGAGCCACAGAATTAGTGACAAAGCGGGGATCCAAACTGGGGGCTATTGATCTAAAGAGGGAAAGAGGATGGAGGAGGGGCTACAATGATGTACTGGGAAGCTATGGACCATTTTGGCCAAGAGCTGGCAAAGCCTTACAAATAATTACAGTGCTCGCTTACTGAGCACTTAACGACTGCCCAGCTCTGAACTGAGCACTCCACGCGGATCACCTCGTATCGTACGACTCAGTCACTAGGCCCATTTACAAACGAGAAAACAGAGGCACAAGGAGGTTAAGCGACTGGCTCAAAGGTACACATAGAGCCGCTATCCAACAGAGTAGCCAAAGCCAGGTCTGCTAGGCTCACGAGCATCCTGTTAAGTCTTATGAAGCAGCCCTGGTCAAGCCACAGCCCGAGAAGACCCAGGCTTTATGCGAGGGAGGCAAGTCCCGCACAGGCGCGGGACGCGGTGATTCAGTCTCCAGCCGGCCTAAAAGTGGGATAAACTCCGGACCCCTCAGGCCTGGAGAAACCACGGCCGGATCAGGCATTCCGCACCGGGGAGGACCCACAGCTTCCGAAACTCTTCAAGACACTGAGGGAGTGACCGTGGGCCACCACGGACCTCAGTTTCCCCATCAGAACAATTGAGCGTCGAGGCCCAGGCCTGGTTCTCAGCCGGTGTGAAAGGCCTCAGTCCACGCCGCTCTCTGAGACGCCCACGGGCTGAGGGGACAGCGGGAGCAGGACCCGGGCCGCCCCTCGAAACCTACGGGCCACGCGCGCCCGCCCCTCACCTCCTTTAGGCATCGCGGCTCCGGCGGCTGCGGCGGCGGCGGCGCCTCGAACTGACACCGGAACCGGAAATACCTTGGGATGGACTTCTTCCGCCCGGCGCAGTTTCCCTGCGCGGGCCGCCGCCGCAGTAGCTGCAAGGACCCAGACCTCAGGGAAGCCGGCGCACGAAACCGGACTGTCCCACGCGCCGCCTGAGTCCAGGCTCGCTCGTGTGCTGCCGGACAACAGTGCCGCCAGTCTGCCCGGGAAGATGCTTGTCTTTGCCGACCACCTCCTGGGAAGTGACAGCAAAGGTCAACAGCGGCACTAGCATTCCACGCAGGCAATTATTCGGGCACCCAAGATGACGCAATCTCCGCGCGAGGTGGGGCGGGGCTTCAGCAGGACCTCATCTTGAAGAGATCGCCCGAAGAACGGAAGCTGTCGGTAGAGAGGCTGCGGTCCCGGGCGCCTAGTCTTCCGGTGAGTGTTTTTCCTGTTCTCGATTACCTTGGCAACGGCTGTGGCCAGGGACGAGTGGTCTTCACCAGACATGAGGGCGATCTGAGCGGCTGGACTGGGTTGGGTTCGGTCCTCTGGACCTTGAGCCTGGAGTGAGCTACCGAGAAGAGCCGGCGCCTTGTTCGTTCCGCCGAGGGATGATTTGGAGGCTGTCTTGTTTTTAGACTTCTCACGCCGTTTTCTCTCCCAGACACGTCTTCTGTGTAAACATTGCTTGTTTTTTCTAAGCTGGGTTCGCATTCTGTCCTCTTGATGAGGCTTCCCTACAGCTCGTCTTAACGGCTTCCTTTCCTCCTCACTTCCTTTGCCAAGCCCCGCTACCTCTTTTATACCTCCCGACACCTCTTTCTTCTTGATCTGGTTACCTCCACCTTCACCTCCCTCAGGAGACCTCCTCTGACTCCCAGGCTTGGCCGGGGCCCTCGAATTTTCTGGATCATGGGAAAGCGATCATTCTTTTGTCACAGGTTGTGCGCCCGCGGACCAGAATCTGCCTATCTGTAGCTTTAGCGGAAGGGAGACCAGTTCAAAGACCACTGATATGGGAGCTGTCAGACTTTGCAAATGCCCAGCTGTGCGACCCTGACTGTACCTCTTAGAGTTTGATTCCTCATCTATACGATTGTTAGAGTTCATGAAAGGAGGCGGGGAAGGGCGCCTCGTAACGTGTCAGATACCTTATAGAATGGAGGGGCTGAATGAATTTGGGAGAAATGAGTCTGCTGTTTGTAAAGGTATGAGATAATTATCCATAGTTCTTTTTGCCAGCTAGGAGGTGCTGTGTGGTTTGAAAAATGCTATTTAAATTGGATTTGCCTTTTGGATGGGCTTTACCTTACTTGTCTTTGTGTAGCTTGTTAATTAGGTCTAAAAGAGACCTTGGCAATCAGCTAATCCAATGCCCTCATTTTACAGATGAGACTGAGGACCAAAGAGGGAAAGTGACGTCCCCAAAGTCACAGAATAATTGTTAGAGACAAAAAGCCAAGCCTGTAACTGCAGAGACCAGAGGTATTTCTGTTACACTCTTGGGAAGCAGATCCTAAGGTACTTTGGTTTTAAAGCTATTTTTTTTCTCCTTTTTAAACACTCATCCTTTTGGCTGCCCCAGCCATAGCCCTCTTTACACATTTTCGTAATTGCCTTTGCACTTATCTGACGCCTGGCTAAAATGTCACCTTCTAAGGGTCAGAAGCAGTGTCTTAATTTTTTTTTTTTTTGAGTTGGAGTCTCCCTCTGTCGCCC